ATATTTATGTGAAAACAAATGAAATATAACCTACGGTCATTTAACCCTAGGACTTATAAAAGGAGGACTGGACATTTTAACCCCAAAGAATCTAGTTATCATTAATACCATGAGATCCAGATGATTCCCACCCTAACACACATACTGCAAATATTGTTGCAAAGTAACTTAAGTCCTTTGGCACCTTATAGTCATATTTTAATCCTGATTTTATAAATAGATATCACCCACTAAAGGAAATATTCATGTTGGAGCTATTTATTCTTTCTTTATCCATTTGAATTGTGTCAATTCCTAAATTTATATTTTTTTTGTATTATTTACAGAGGTTAATAATTGTTGACTCTATCTTTTTTAAAATTATTTCTCTTATTTATTTTTGTTCTGAGGTATGACAGGAAGTGATGTGGATCAGTCCACTTTCTGTAAGTGTGGTGCGTAGGAAAGGACCAGCAGGCATTTTGGGTTTGGGTCCTATGGTTTTTACCAGTGCAAGAGAGGTAGGACAAAAGAAAAGTTTGTACTCTTTAATTGTAAATGAAAATAGAAAATAACCCACCCAGAACCATCATCAAGACTGGACATTGGAACTTCTTTTTGCCTGCGTTGACCCCAGTGCCTTAGTAGTGGCTTAATTGGAACTTTAATGGGATGTTTGGCCTGGCAAACAATCACCACTATAATTATATAATAATAAAAACAATGATTAAATTATCCCATTGTCAATTTTCTGTCATCTGGGTCATGACGGCCACAAAACAGGGTTAAATGCAGTCCATGAAGACATTTTACACATAACAAGGAGTCTTTGTTAATTCTTTCGGCTCGAACTAGAGCTGACAGAATTAGAAAAATGAAATCAATAAAATAATAAAAGAAGTTTTTTTTGTCCCACAAGGAGAAATTCAGGTGTGTTCAAAACCAAGAAAAACTTGAAACCAAAAACAGTGACCGAGGAGTCACTCGGTCACTGTGAATGTACCTTTATCACAACTACACATATTTGTTAATTTCAAGAAAACCATTAAATCTTTTCAAAGGTGCATCTAGATTCTATCTAAACATTTGTCTAGCAGGTAAACATGAGTTTAGGACTTGTAATGTAAGCTACTTAAAAGTTGTTTTGTACTTACACGTGTAAGTTCTCAGGGGCTTAAATTCTCATGTAGTTCAGTCAAAAAAAAGAAGAAAATATTTTCCCAAAATTAGTTTATTTTTTTCATTGTATCAGTCAGCTGAACAACTTCATTTAAGAATGTGGTCTGTCTATTTTAAAATCATTAGGAAAATGAAAGATGTTGCAACACGATCATATTGGTTTGAAACAACATGACATTTCCTTGTAAACAAATATTGCTCTCTTCAATCTGCAGGGCATCAGCAGCTGGGACGAACAGACACTTTTCCTCCAGAGTCGTAGCAGCTGCAAAACATCATAAGAAATGTTCAATGTCACTTTATGGATTAGAATGCTTTTGTCCATCTGCATGTGGTTCTTTCGCCAAGATTTATGGAGAAGAGATGTGTTTCTGTCGGGGACGTACCTGCTCCGAGGTGTTACAGATTCAGCTCAGCAGAGAGAGTAGGATCTCTCTGGTAAAGGTGAGTTATCATCAGCCTGCTGGCTTCATTTCCTTTCCTCCACACTGCATCAATGAGATCTCGGGCCATGTCTGCTCGGGTTTTGTTCTCCTCCAGTATGGCGTCCTTCTCCCCATAATTAATGATCTTGTCCTTTAGGAGATCATCCAGAAGCTGCTTTATTAGTGGTTTGGAGGCCTTGTCCACAAAGGCGGTCCTGATGCTTTCGACTGTATCAGCTGGAAATAGAAAAAAATATATATATATTTTAAAAGCTCTGATCAGTGAAGCCTCCTAATCTACTGATCTTAACCACAGAGGTAGAGGCGTAGCCAAAAAATCCTAATAAGGGTGACCGAAAGGCGTTTCGTTTACAGTTGGAAAAGCATAAAAAAAAAGTAAAATAGCAAACACATTTGATATGTTTAACACTAAGTAACTTGCTATTAGTCAAATAATCAGTGTTTAAAAAAACGTTACCTTAAATTTAAGACTGATTTACAGGGAACATCAGCCGTTCAACAACTACTTGACAACAGAAAGGCACCAGAACCTCAGGGTCAATCTACACTAAGCGGTTTTACGCTTTCTGTTCATGTTTTTTACTCCTATTATTACACAAGGATAGACTTATCCTTGTGTAATAACTATCACACCTCCTGATTTGGGGATCTGCTATCTTAGAAATCAGAGAAAAGTTTCCAACTAGAAAATTCGTCTTACCTTCCATTTCTGCAAAACCTATGATGGTTTCGTAATGGTCGTCTTAGTTGACCACACCCAGCACTGCACAGATGTAGCCGCCTTGATCTGTACTCTGCGTTGTGTATAACNATTTTAGTTTTTATAATAAGATATACATTTCTGTAGAAGCTGGTTTGTTTAATCAGAACATATGTTATCCATAAATATCTTGTATGTTCTCATTATGTGGTGACTTGAAATTTCTCCATTTCCTTACAGGGGATGAAGAAAGCTCTGGAGGATTTCAAAGAGCATCGAAAGCTCAGAGACACAGACAGTGTGTTTGTGGTAATCATGTCTCACGGAAAACGGGAATTTGTCCTTGGTGTTAACCACAGTGAGAAACAGCCAGATGAATTCCCTGTTGATGACATCTACAAATACCTGGGTCCACAGGAGTGCCCTGCCTTGAGGGACAAACCAAAGGTCATAATCATCCAGGCCTGCAGAGGAGGTAGCTACTACCTGACCTGGGTTAGGAGCTCCACTTTGGACTTCATCCAGATTTAATTTGTCCTTTCTGTTCCAGCTTCTGGGGGGTCTGTGATTGTTAGCGACAGTGCTTCAGCTGAGGTGGTCTCAGATGATGTGTCACAAGTGCCTGCTAATTTGGGCAACATTGTTGACGATGCAATCAAATACGTTCACAAAGAAAAGGACTTCATTTCCCTCCTCTCCAGCACTCCTGGTGCGTTGCTAACTGAAATTTGTTGTTTTCAGAACTTAGCCTAACCTTTGAAAGATAACTGTGGGTTTTTGCAGACACTGTTTCCTACAGAAGAGAGGATTTGGGTTCCTTCCTGATACAGTACATTGTTGAAGTATTCAAGACCTGTTCCCACCAGGACGACATTGATGAACTTTTCAGAAAGGTAAAAGTTTTAGTATGAAAGTAGATAGTATGAATTTACACTGCTTAAACACCGGAATAAACAAAACACCTAAAGCAATTATTCATTATCTCCATTTTTTTATTGACCTCTGCAGGTCATGCAGCGCTTTGAAGAGTTTCCTGATGAAACCAAAAGACAAATGCCAACCAAAGACCGATGCACTCTCACCAGGCGCTTCTACCTTTTTCCTGGCCAGTGAGGCAGCATAAAAGTTCGGTAAACCCATCAGTTGTTTAGCTAACAATGCTAAATATTCTTGCTGTTTGAGAAAAACAAAACAAAGAAAAAAAAACAACACCTTTTTAAACTAATAAAACCCCTCTAAAAGACACTAAACATAATATCCTTTAAAATTCAGTGAGAAAAAAGGCCAATGCGGAGCTAACTTCTATTCTGAAATCATTTAGGCTGGAGTGAATGGGGTATTTTTTAAAGGAGAATACATGTACTTAAATTTGATTTGATATCATTTGGAAAGTTATCTTTTTCTACTGTTGTTAAAATAACGAATAAAAATGTGAAGAAAAACGTGGTCTGGTCCTATTTTCCAGTTATTCATTTGTGTATTTACTTTTATTGCCACATGTTTATAACAACAGCAAAGTAGCAGAGTGAAACCTAATTTAAATTAGTGGTGGGCTGTTATCGGCATTAACGCTTCCAAGCTGTGTAGGCGTACTGTAAAATCAACACATTGAACATGACATGCTGATATAGATGCAGCTATAAGCACAATTTTATCAGCATGGCTGATGGGGTCAACTCGCGCTGGTGCAAGTGACCGATCTTACAAATTTATTTGCAAAACAACTGATAAGAAAATTTGATAAGTCACACAGCCCTCAATCATCAGTCCAGGAGGCATAGGGTAACATAAGACATCCATCCATCCATTTTCCGACATATTTATCTTTGCTGGGGTTGCGAGGGGTTCTGGTGCCTATCTCCAGTTGTCAATGGGCAAGAGGCGGGGTCCACCCTGGACAGGCCGCCAGTCCATTGCAGGGCAACACAGAGACAAACAACCATTCATGCACAAACTCACACCTAAGGAGAATTTAGAGAAGCCTATTAACCTAAGAGTCATCTTTTTAGCCTGTGGGAGGAAGCCGGAGTACCTGGAGAGAACCTAAGCATGCACAGGGAGAACATGCAAAATCCATGCAGAAAGACCCTGGGCCTGGAATTGAACCCAGAACCTTCTTGCTGCAAAGCAGCAATGCTAACCACTGCTTCACCGTGCAGTGGATAGCAGCAACATAAGACATGCATGTTTAAACTTCAAAGGTTAGGGATGCTGCTTATCTAGTTAGGTAAGAATAACATAATTACGGTACAGTAAAGATGATACAGTCATGAACAAAAAATGTGGACAAGAAAAAAGGTTTGGCAATGTGCAAGATAACTTTTCTAAAACAAAAAGGGTAGCAAAAGAGAAAAAAAATAACACAAAACAAACAAACAAAAAAATCCATCTAAAATATATACGTACATAGATGTCATATATGATATATTGTCTCTGCAAACACTAGGTTTGGGGGCATCAGGCAAAAACTGATATTACAATAAAATTATCTCCATATTTAAACTTGGAAGGCATTAACAATGCAAATCTCTAATGATGCCTTTTAAAACCCACTTCCTCACTAAAAACACTTGGATGATGAGTTTGCAGCTCGATTTCTTTTACAGAATGCTGTGCTCAACTTGTTCTTAATTCCATGTATTTGAAGAGGACACTACAAAACGCGTCTGTTCCGGTTTTGCCAGTTCTGTGCAAGTCTATTTGTAAGTAACTCAAGTTCAACCAAACCTTTCTTACTACTAATGTAAAAAATTTTACAGCACAAAAAGCCTGTCTATTTGGTTCTTTAAATTCTCAAGAACTTATCAAAACATAATTTTTAAAATCAGTCATGGGAAGAAGAAAACATGGACCAAAGACTGTTGGAGACAGGCAAAACGGATCAGCATTCTCAAGAGCAGAGGTCCCAAAACATTTCAGCCTGTGACCCCCCCCCAAATAATCCATATATTCATTTAATTTAATTACTTCCTAACATTGTGCATATAAATAAAAAAACAATTATATTCATTTTTAAATAAATCTTTTGTAAATTACTTTTAAAGTGTTTACTCAATCCTGCTCCTTTTTAAACTTGCATTTAATTATGCCTTATAATGAACATGCAAATAATATTATTTGATGTTTGAAATAAATAAATAAATAAATAAATAAATAAAGAAGTATATTTTAATCATGTTTTAAATTAAAAGGAAAATATCATGCATGCGCAATAGAAACAATAGGCCAACGCACCAGTAGAGGGCAGCAGTCTCAAAGGGTAACCAGATGACCTTTCAACTTTTAAAATTACACTGGTTATCATTATTATACCTTTTCTGTTCATCTTTTTTGGAGTTTTGTCATCACAAAAACCTAAAAAAGCTCTGACAAACACTTTTTCAACTTTCACTTGTTAGGCTTGTCAGACAAGAAAGCATTGGCAAGTTTGTATTCAGTTTTTAGAGTTTATAATTACTAAAGCAACAATGTAAATTGAAACTAAATACTCTTATTGTAGGCCAGAGGTCTGAAACCTTTACAACCAAGTGACATTTTTACATTGGTTAAAGCTAACAACATTGTTTAAAGCCATAAACATTGTGTGCCATATCACCACAAATTTTTAACATAATCATCATGCCATTTCAAAAGTTTTAAAATGAAGGAAAAACAGAAAATAGAATAGAAAAAAATACAAAATTCCTTAATTGTCCCACAATGGGGAAATTTTTATGTTACAGCAGCAGCAAAAAGTTATTGCACAGTGGTCCTGCAACGTTGACCTTAGGACCTTTTCTATTTTTTTCTATTAAAAAACGTGTGTAAAGAGAAAAAATACATTTTACATCAGTTGCTGAAATCCCATTTAAGTCCAAAAATATCATCCAGCTATATTTAGAGCCAATTTATTTAACTAATTTAAGACAACTATTCAATTTGTTAATATTTCTATTTTTTCAAAGATTTGCAACTCTTCATCATTGTTAGCCAAAGTGATTAAGAGTCTATGTCATGTGTCTAAAGAGTCACAGGTTGCAGACACCTATTGTAGCCTCTGCATACCTGATTACAACTTACTATACCAAAATTGGTGAACATTAAAATATAAATACATAATCAAATTGATTTTGTTTATACCTGCTTTATACCTGCTTGTCAGTGGACATGAGGGGAAAGAGACATTCAAGCCACAAATTGTAGCTCTACAAATATATCAACTAATATGCTGAAGTCAGGAAGCATTAGATACCTGGGAATAAA